CTCTGTGCACTGCTGCCCCCCTTCTTTTTTTCTTGATCGCAGTTTATCTGTTGAGGAAATCGTGTCCTGTACGCTGTGCCCCACACTCGGCCTGGCCAAGTGCCGCTCCGTGATGCTGTGTTGAGCGGGTCCCCCTCCAGCCCCTGTATTCCTGACTTACCTACAGCCTGGTCGTTAGGATTGAGAGGAGTTTGGTCGGATTCGGACTCAAAGATTTTGTTTTCACAAGACCACGTATAGGTGCTGTGTAACATCTGGCTGCTGTCTCTGTGACGTTAAGCCGATCCATAGGTTCAGAGAGTCTGTGTTTCACCTCGTGGCTTTGGCAGCTACTGATGTTTGTGCAGGCATTTCATTCGGGGCCACAGCATGGCCACGGGTGGATTCATGTCATCTTCGTTTATTTCGCTGTTATACTTCTTTTTTTTTTTTGGCTGCGTTGGGTCTTTGTTGCTGCGCACGGGCTTTCTCTAGTTGCGGCGAGCAGGGGCCACTCTTCGTTGCGGTGCGCGGGCTTCTCATTGTGGTGGCTTCTCTTGTTGCAGAGCACGGGCTCTAGGCGCATGGGCTTCCGTAGTTGTGGCTTGTGGGCTCAGTAGTTGTGGCTCGCAGGCTCCAGAGCACAGGCCCGGTAGTTGTGGCGCACAGGCTTAGTTGCTCCACGGCATGTGGGATCTTCCCAGACCAGGGCTCGAACCCGTGTCCCCTGCATTGCCGGGTGGATTCTTCACCACTGCGCCACCAGGGAAGCCCCGCTGTTACACTTCTAAAGACAGCCTCCGCTCATCAGCTGTTCGGTTGCCCTGAGAAATGGGTGACTGAGAAGTACGTTTGCCATGCCCTCCCCCTCCCTCTGTCCCCACCAGACCTCCCTGCTGCTCCTTGGCCAGTGTCCCAGGCTCACCTCTGCTCTGGAAAGCTTTTAGCAAACGACTCCTTCCATATTTAGAGGTGCAACCCTACAGGAAAGCACTCCCTGTCCTGCGTCTGCTCTGAGTTTTTTCTCCATGGCACTTACATGTTGATGTACCACACGGTTTACTCACTTAATCATCTTTTCCCCAACCCAGAATGTAAGCTCAACGAGGAAAGAATGGGGGGGGGGGGCTGTTTCAGTGCTGTAGCCCCAGCATGTACACAGTGTGCTGTTAGCTCATGGTAGGTGTTTACAAACATAATTAAAGTAGTCATCTTGGATAAAATAAAGGAAGGGCCCTAACACTTTTTTTAATGGTGTGGATAATATTCTTGTTATTACTCAAAAAAAGTTATGCTATATTTTTTAAAAAGTATTTGCTTTTTAAGTTAATATGAAGAATAGTCATTACCTTAGTTTAGAAATAAGATAAAAAATTGAAAGGTAGGAATAGCTTTGCGCTTTTGGAGCGGTTGTCCTGTGCCGGGTGCCCTGGGAGTTCATGGAATCCTCTCTGCATCTCTTTACTTGAGGAAGCTTCTGTTACTGCCTCATTTTACAAATAGGAAAACAGAAACAGAAGTTGGGTAACTTTTCTAATGTCATGGGGTGAGTAGTGGAGCCAGAATCTGAATCCAAATAGAGATTTTTGTATATTTTATTTTTCCATAATTTCACACATAGAGGATGGTTTTAAGAATAGTAAAGTGAAGTCTCATATGTTCTTTACTCAAATTCACTATGTCTCTATTTTGGCCCACTTGCTTTCTCCTTCCCTCTACTTTTTTTTTTCTTTTTTAAAATTGAAGTATAGTAGATTTACAATATTGTGTTAGTTTCGGGTGTAAAACAAAGTGATTCAGGGGTTTTTTTGCAGATTATTTTCCATTATAGGTTATTACAAAATAGCGAGTATAATTGCTGTGCTATACAGTAGGTCCTTGTGGCTTATCTATTTTATATGTAGCAGTGTGTATCTGGGCATCCTGTACTCCGAACTTATCTCCCCACATCCCCCTTTGATAATCATAAGTTTGTTTTCTGTGTCTGAGTCTATTTGTTTTGTAAGTAGATTCATTTGTATTATTTTTTAGATCCCACATGTAAGTGATATCATACAATATTTGTCTTTCTCTGTCTGACTTGCTTCGTGTAGTATGATAATCTCTAGGTCCATCCATGGTGCCGCAAATGGCATTATTTCATTCTTTTTTATGGTTGAGTAATATTCCATTGTATATATATGTACCACATCTTCTTTATCCATTTCTCTGTCGATGGACATTTAGGTTGATTCCATGTCTTGGCTATCGTAAATAGTGCTGCTATGAACATTGGGGTGCGTGTCTCTTTTCGAATTAGAGTTTTCTCCAGATATATGCCCAGGAGTGGGATTGCTGGATCATATGGTTGTTCTGTATTTTATTTTTTTAAGGAATCTCCACACTGTTCTCCATAGTGGCTGTATCAATTTACATTCCCACCAGCAGTGTAGGGGGAGGGTTCCTTTTTCTCCACACCTTCTCCAGCGTTTAGTATTTATAGACTTTTTGGTGATGGCCATTCTAGCCAGCGTGAGGTAATATACCTCACTGTAGTTTTGATTTGCATTTCTCTAGTAATTGGCAATGTTGAGCATCTTTTCATGTGCCTGTTGGCCATTTGTGTGTTGTCTTCTTTTTTTTTTTTTTTTTTTTTTTTTTGAAACATTTGAAAGCAAGTTGCAGACATGGTATGCCCCTTTACTTATAAATGTTTCAGTGTGCATTTCCTAAGACCAAGGACATCCTCTTACACAGTCACAGTGTCTTTACCAAAACCAGGGAATTTGACTCTGATAGAATGCTCTTATCTTATCCACAGTCCGTGTTCTTGTTTCATCTCAATGACCCCTATAGCTGTTGGCCCTCCACCCCATCCGGAATTCCATCCCGCCTGGCACAGGGCACTGTTTTCGTATTCTTAACCGATAAAACACAGGGAGCCGCCCTCTGGCGTCATCACACAGGAAATTGAGTGTGTGCTAAGGGGGGAAGATGGAACAGTGCACATTGTTGGGATAACAGCACACTCCGTGGGAGCGTGACCACGTTGTCTGTTTCAGTTCTTCTCATTTCTGTTCCTAACTGATGGCCGTAAGTTGTTGCCGTCTTCATCCTGACCCTGCTCTCCCTGGGCCCACACCTGGAATCCTTACCTTTCTTGATGGGACCCTGTGGATCTGCAGTTAAGTTGTGCATGCCCACTGCATCTTTTCTGTCACATGGTGTCACCGCTGCATTTTAAAGGGCTGTACATCCCTTGTTTTGACTCTAGTTTGACTTGTCTGCTCTTGCCCTTAGCGTACTGCAGTTGTTTCTTCTCTGTTCTACTGTCCTGGGTGCTTGTTCATCCAGCAAGTGCCTCATACAAAGAGAGTTGACTTTCAAGTGAGTTTGCAGCACATGAATGAGAGTGAATGAACAAAGGATGCTGGTAGGCGGGGGAGGGGCTTTGCAACCTATGTATTCAGACGTCCGTATGTTTTGATGTTAAGGCAGTTTGTTGAAGGTGTACACCTGAGGTCTGTGTCTGCTGATGATTTGGGGAGAAGTGCTTATAAAGCTCTTTCACAAATCAGGATCTGCTAGTTTTCTGCAATTTTTTTCTTTGTGGTTGAATGTTAGATGTTCACAAGAATCTTGAATTATTTATTGGTCTTTGTTGTTTGTCTCATTTCATTTTGTTTCAGTTTTGTTATTTGTAAAGGTATCTGTACCTTTACTTGGCTGGCTTTGTAAAGGCTTAGCTGGCTGACTCTCTTTATGTCTTGCTAAAACTTTCTGTGTCTAGTGCTAATCTTTCCTAAGAGGGAAAATTGCATTTTAAAATATTAATATGTTTCTTAAAACTCAGTTATATTAAGAAATCAAGTGTGCCAGTAGTCACATAAAAGCATTGCAATTTTGTATTTGTTTTTATTGATATGCCTTAAAATATAAGTTTGCTCTTGTATTAAAATGTGTTTGTTTTTCTCTTTCCTCCTCCTGCCTCTTTATAAAGGAGTCAGTCACTGCCAACATAAAGTTAAGAAAGCTAGGCGCTTTCTCCCTTTGGTCTTCTGTTCCCACGAACCTCCTTCTGCGGGTACTGCACTCATCTTTGCACAGACTCTTACTAACCACAGCGCCCCAGGCAGCAGCCTAACCAGATGCTTGTAGATTACCCTGAGCGGGAGTGCCTGTCCTGGGGGTCCGTGAGTGCTGTCCACTGCTGGCAGCGGTGCTGTGGGCCGCTCTCCTCATGGAAGACTGTTGCCCGTTTGCTGGTTTTTAAATGCGTGACAGGGCTAGAAGTCGCTTCCTGGCTTCCCCTGTGGGATCTTAGTGTTTTACCAAAGGGGCCGGCAGGTACCTTTGCCTTGTGGGTTTCCTGACCTGGCATGAGATTAATGGAGAAGGATGGTCCAAGTGAGCCCCAGGGGTCTGCCTTTCCTGCCTCGGGGGCAGATACTCAGGGTGCTGCAGAGCAGAGGCCAAGGGGGGGAGTTTTCTAGCAAAGGGAAGATTACCTGTAACAATTGGAAGAGTCACTTCTACAAACACTGTGTAAATGTAAGTGGAAGCTCGTCAGCAGAGCCTCAGGTGCTGTACTCCTTGAGCTTCTTTGGAGAGGCTGGAATCCTGGGGAGGCTTGCTGAGGGCTGTTCCCTGCTTATTGTGTGGGGTACACATCAATGACCCATAGTTTTCATTTCCAAGAGGATACAAATTCCTTTCGAGGCAAGTAGAGTCATTTTTTAACATTTAACCGTGAGGAGCAATCCAATCAGTTTTGCTTAATGCGGCAGAAACGCACTTAAACTGCTATTTACTTGGGGTGACGTGTGGACCGCTGAAAAGTCGCATTAATGCCCTTAAGTAAACATGCTAACTCCTATGATCTTCTTTTATCTTTTGAATTAGACTGGGGGGGTAATTTTTGTGTTTTCCTTACACTTTGATTTGCTTGTCATTTTAATAGCGTTTTCCCTCTCTCCCCCCCTCCCCTCCCCCCTCCCCCCCTCTCTCCTCCCCCTTTCTTTGCATGCCACCCGGATCTGCAGATGAAATTAGTGGGGACGGTAATATTTATTTTCATGTTTGTGTTACTAATATAATTATTTATGGATATAAATATCATTCAGTATTTAATGAAAGGCAAAATGTGGCTTTGATCCAACAAAACAAGTATGAAGAAACCATGGTGTGAGTCAGTGATCTCTTCAGAATTATTTAGGGCTTTGACATGGGAAGGGTAACTGTCAGTTTCTTTACCACGTCTCAGTAGTAAATTCAAGTTGTATCTATTCATAGCGAATTCTAGAGGTGAAGAAAAGTCGTCGAAATGGTATCACTCAGCAGTAAGTGGGAGAGATTTGCACACTCCTCCACACATATGTGATGGTAATTTTTAGTTTGGGAGTGAGGTAGTGGAAAGCAAAGAAAGAAAAGTGATGTCTGAGAGTCAAACAGCCTAAAATAATTAGAGAACTACCAGCAGGAGTGATGTGAGTATTTCTCAGGCAGCTGAGGTTGTCACTCTCATAAACTAGAAATTTAGAAGCACGTGTAGTGTCTTGTTTTCCATTTCCTTTGTGTACTGCCTGCATGAAGCTTTGTGCTCTTACGATACGGAGTGAGGTTTATAAAGTAAAATTAAAGGAGGTTGCATTTTTCCTCACAATTAAATGAAATAACGCTTTCACTGAAGAGTCCGTCTGTGCTTGCGTGTGTGTCTGGTCGACGACTTGAGCACCATATGAGCAAAGTGCTTGCAGTCAGACGTCTGGACTAAACGTGACTTGGAAGGTGCCTTGCCTCCTGGGACTTCCAGCTCCAAGCCTCGTTTCCAGGCCGACTCCTTGGTGGTTACTGGGTGGGCGCCCCCGATGTGCGTGCGTGCCCTTCACCAGCGAGTCTCCCGGCAGGGGTTCAGAGCATGATTGGTGTTCTCCTCGCTGTCGTGCGGGTGAGGACACGGGTGACCAGTCCAGGGCTGCTGGGTGAGTGGCCAGGTCCCAGGCTCCAGCCTCGCCCCGTCCCGTCACCAGCTGGCCAGTTGGGTGACCTTGAGCAAAGCACTTCATCTCTGGAGTCTTCATCTGTAACAGGCCTTGATGGTTGTTGTGAGGACTACATAAAAATGTCAACAAACGTGTATTAACGAGTGGTTATTAGCACATTATTTATCTAAAGAAAACATCGTGCCTTTTCCCCACATTTGAATTTCCCATTTGAATTAGGGTGAGTAGTATTATCCCCATTTTACAGGTGAATAAGCTGAGACTTCCACAAACTAAGGCCTGTGGGCCAAATACGGCTCACCTCTGTTTTTGTTTTGCTCCTGGAACTAAGAACCGTTATTACAGTTCTTAATGGTTGGGGGTAAAATCAAAGAATAGTACCTGGCATCAAAACTATGTGAAATTCAAATTTCTGTGTCCACCAGTAAAGTTTTGCTGGAACATAGTGACACGTTCACTCATGACGTGTCTGCTCACCCCTGCAATCTCAACAGCAGAGTTAAGTGGTTGCAGTGGAGACTTTGTGAGCCGTGAAGTCTAAGATACGTACTGTCAGACCTTTTGCAGAAAGAGCTGGCCGACCCCGGTGCAGGTCACAGAGCACAGCGGGGCCCTTCCTGGCTTCCTGAAAGCCCTCCTGCCCCCGGCCCCCACAAGCCGGTCACCACCTCCAGGGCTCACGGCAGGGTCACGTGTGCAGGTGTGGTGAGAAGCTGTGCTGTTGCTGGGTCCCACTGAATTGCTGAGCAATCCCATGACTGTGCGTGTGCTGCCCTGGGGGGGTGCCTCACCAGGCCTCCTGAGGGCAGCAGGGCGCCGACCAGAGGCTGTTGTCAGAAGCGCTTGGCGTCAGGCCCCGAAGGGCAGGTGGAGGAGGTGGAGAGGGAATCACCTGGCCCACCTCTTCCCCGCGGGGAGTGGTTGGCTCCTGAGAGCTTTGTGGTCCTGCAGGCTCCGCTGCACTTCCTTTTGTTTACAGCCGAGCGTCCACTGCTCTGTCCCTCTCCAGCTCGAAACTGACCCCTGCCCGGTGACTCCGGAGGCTTCAGGCTCTTTGCGTGACGGAGCATGACAGGCGTGTGTCACTGGTTTCAGTAGTGACTTCACTAGGCCTCTTTTCCTTTGTTTTAAAACGAGAACTTTGTACTTTTCTCTCCTAATTTCTGAGCCGTCGGTTTCTGCCCTTTTAGCGTGTCTTCCCCTCATTTTTATTTTACCACGTATTGTGATACCAAACCTTTCAAATTACAGTGTTATCCAAGGTTTCAGAAGTCTCTGTCCATTTTTCAAAATGTTTACTTTGAAATATTTGACTCATGGTCCTAGAATTGTCTCCCAAGTGCACAGGCCCAGTTAAGCCTTCCAGGGATGCCCATGTTGGGGGTGAAGTCCCAGAACATCCTTAGGGGAACACTCCGAGGTTTCGAAGCATCAGGTATCTGGTCTCACAAATAAAAGTCCCCAGAAACGTATTGGGAGATAGTAAAGAACGAAGCCCGGAGCACGGCGGCCCAGGAGCTCTGCTGGAGCGCTGAGTGGCTGGAGACTGTGAGAAACTCAGGGTGCCTCTGGGTCCCCCAGCTTCCTGCCTGGGAAACGGCGATGACGATAACAGTACCACCATGTGCGATGCCCCTGAGGATTAAATGACGATATGTGTAGTTGTTTATGATGGTGTCTGGCGTTAGGGTGAGCGCTCCGTTAGCTGTCGTCCAGGTCAAGTGGAGAATGCAGAGCTGCTTTCCTTTATTTGTGATGAGATCTTTGAACCTGTTTCCTTTTCCTTTATATTTTCCTTCTTTTATGTCATTATTTTGGGGGCCAGGCGGTTTCAGGGTGGACTCCAGTTTTTCAGGGGCCCTTGAGTATGTAAAAGTACCTTTCATCTCAGTGTCATACTGTCCCATAATCCTAAAAACCAGGAAAGAAAAAGGGAAGATAGAACCAAATCAGTGTCAAGAATTCTTAGAGAAATATGCCGAGTATCCCCACTTGGAAAGTCCTATATAGAAGGTTATGGTAAAACCTTTGTAGGTCCACGTACCTTCAGTAGTGTTGACCCTTCTGCATAAGAACCAACTCAAGGAGAACACAGCAGCAAAAGTTCACGTGACGTCACGGTACCCATAGCCACACCCACGTGTCGTCATGAGTAATGCCCAGGGAGCTTGGATAATCCCCAAAGTTTTTTTGTAGAATTCACACAGCACTGAAAGAAAAAAACTGCAGGCTTTCTCTTGTGATTGTGTGAATTAATGCAAGTGCATGCAAATTGGTTTTTCCCACGTCACTTTTGTGTGTTAGCCTCTGACACATGAGCCATTTTATTCTTATTCCTTGAAGCTGGTTCAGAGTCGGTATCCCTGCTGAGAGTTTTATAAGAAGAGGCCGTCTGGGAAGCGCTTACAGTCCCACCAGGAAGGCTCCTTCCAGAGGCCTCAGAAGGAGGGAACCAAGGAGCCTCCCACCTGTTTGTCACCTGTCCTGTGCAGGGCTGCACCACAACTTCACGTGCATCTCTGTAATCCTCACGACGGCCCCACCAGGGGGCCGTGCTCTCGTTGGGCACGTGAGGGCACAGCTGAAGCGCAGACAGGTTCAGCGGCTCCTGGGGTGGAGCAGCGCCCAGACACGCAGCTGTGGCTGGCCTGGCTTCCTCGCCTCTGGGTCACGGGGAGCGCCGTCCCCTCCTGCACTGTTGAAGGGCACTCCTCCCTTTCGTTCAGCAAGTGCTTACTGGGTGCCTCCCAGGCCGGTCGGCCCTGGGTTGGAAACTGAGAACACAGCAGTAAACAAGGTACATACAGCAGGGCCCATTGCCCTGGGGGCTCTGCTCTGGATGGGGGCACACGGTTGACAAGGAACCAGAGGACCGTCAGAGGGTTGGTAGTGATGGGCCCCGAGCAAAACATGTCAGGCAACGTGATCGAGAGTGATGGGGGTGAGGACGCGTCTCTGAACAGGTGACACTCAGGTGGCAGATACCATTACCCACAGAGGCGGAGGGACAGGCGGTCAGTGACCCCAACAGCCTTGGGAAACTTTGGTGCCTGCAGAGTCGATGGGTCCCCAATATCTCCTTAGTAGAGCTGAGAGCCAGGTGCAGGGGGTGTTGAAGATTCCGGAGCAAATCTGGTAGCAGGGCGGCAGAGGCAAGAGATCTGGGCAGTTTCACTGCCAGAATCGGGCCCCTCAGGGTCAGCTAATGTGTTTGGCCTCCAAAGGTGTGTGCTTTGTGTGAAAGGGGGCAGCAGGGGTGGGTCTGTGGTTGCAGGAAATTGAGCCTTAGTTGCATGTGCTCTGAGGGAGGGGCGTGAGGGGAGCTTGTCTGACTGCAGACAGAGTGAGTGGCTGAGTGTCCGTCTGTGGGGCCTTAGCCCTGGCACACTCCCCCGCTTAGCCCTTTCCTTGCCTCTGCCTTAACACCACCTCCATCCCCAAGTTGCATCTCACCTTACACAAAAGCAAGGCTCCCGGCCTAGGAACCATCACTCACTCTTCTTGATAGTCACTGGGAACAGGATAGGAGGGAGAAATTTAGGAATAAAGAATGTAAGGTTTGGGATAGATTAAATAATTTTTTTCTTTAATCCTGAAAGTAGTATTACCTATAAACATGTAAGAATAATATAAATTATCCACCTGGCATACAGGACTCACAAATAGGTAACATTTGCTAAATCTCTAAAGGAGAACCGATTTATTGACTTTACATTCTGCCAGTCGAATTTGTTTTTACTTTAATCACTTTTAATGATGATTACGAATTAAGAAATGAATTCTTGGGCTTCCCCGGTGGCTCAGTGGTTGAGAATCCACCTGCCAATGCAGGGGACACGGGTTCGAGCTGTGGTCCAGGAAGATCCCACATGCCGCGGAGCAACTAAGCCTGTGCACCACAACTACTGAGCCTGTGCTCTAGAGCCTGCAGGCCACAACTGCTGAAGCCCGCGCACGTAGAGCCCGTGCTCCGCAACAAGAGAAGCCACTGCAGTGAGAAGCCCGTGCACCGCAATGAAGGGTAACCCCCGCTCGCCGCGGCTAGAGAAAGCCCGTGCGGAGCAGCGAAGACCCAACGCAGCCAAAACTAAATAAATAAATTTTTAAAAAAAGAAGAAGAGGGCTTCCCTGGTGGCGCAGTGGTTGAGAGTCCGCCTGCCGATGCAGGGGACACGAGTTCGTGCCCCGGTCTGGGAGGATCCCACATGCTGCGGAGCGGCTGGGCCCGTGAGCCATGGCCGCTGAGCCTGTGCCTCCAGAGCCTGTGCTGCGCAACGGGAGAGGCCACAACAGTGAGAGGCCCGCGTACCGCAAAAAAAAAAAAAGAAGAAAGCAAGAAATGAATTCTTCCAGTTGCTCTTAGATTGGGTCTCAATCGTTACCGTAGCAGTATGTAGAACAGTTGATACCTAGAGACCGTAAACTATATGTAGTCTCTATTTTCTTTGGTTTCTATAATTTTAATATCTGAATGGAGTAATAATGGCAGCACAGAAGAAAGAACTTTTAGTTCTTTAGCTTTTAGTTTCTCTGGGGTTAAATTTTGAAAACGATCTCTCTTCAGATGATAATTCAGGAAGTACTGCCCCTCCTTTCCTGGCCCATCAGCCTAAACCCTTGTGCATAGAGCTACTAAAGGTTTTCCTCTTTCCAGAAAGAGGAAGACAGACAAGAGCTGAGTGATTTTTCAGTGTAATTGTTATCCAAGTGAGTGGGTGTTTTCTACAAAAGGGGTTTTCCCCCCACTAATATGGTGGTGGGTCTTTAAGTTGCTGCATTACTGAAAGGAATTAGTGGAAACATTGGAACTCCTTGACATTACGTCTGAAAAGAACTCGTTTCAATGTGCTGTTTGTTCTGATTTTATTCTCTTTGGCACATCTTTTACCCTTTTGACATTAATGCATACTGTTTAAATATCTGAGTGAAAAGTTACAGGAGAGAAATTCCTGGGTTGCTTTCACTCTGAACAAATGAAATAAGTTAGCCCAGTTAATCTCCTCAAAAGTCAGCCTGCCGTTTTGTTTTCTAAAGGAGAACATCCAGACTGTGCTGTGGAGTCTAACTATGAATGAAATCTAAGCTGTGTTCTGGAGGTACCGGTCTTGTTTGGAGAAATCCCGGTAGACAGCGGTGTGGTTTTAAACATGTATTTGGTGTAGTTGAGGGAGAGCTTTGCAGTCAGTACCGCTTGGTGGGTTTGAATCGTGCAAACAGTTGTTTCATGTCTTTCTGTTTTCCACAAGGGCTTTCTCTGTTAGTCTCTTTGCTCTCTGAGGAACAGGTCTGTGTATTATGACATGTTGGACCATGATGTCACTTTTATTTCCATAAATGACTCATGTGTGAGCAAAAATGGAGTAATAGTGTTTTAAGAATAATGTCAGCATGGTAGGGGGTTTAGGCAGATCATTTTGCCTTTTCAAGTTATATTAAAGGCCAGGGGGTTGAATATTTCACCTCTGTTTCCTTTCCTACAGAAACAGACGACTATGCTGAGATCATCGACGAGGAAGATACCTACACCATGCCCTCGAGTGAGTAGACTTTTAAATATCTCGTGTTTAAACGGTTTAGGTATTTATTGTCCTTTTAGAACTACTTTTAAGACCTTATTGAGTTCATAACAGAAATATTCTTTTCAGCCTTTAGAATTCTGTATTGTATGCGCCCACTGCCAGGTCAGAAGCCTGAAACTCAAATATCTATAATAAGTCAGTTCACTTATGGGGTTTTTGTAATCTTGTTTTCTGGCTCTATGATAATATAACCTTTAATGATTAGAGCATTCCCTCTCTGTAGGAAATTAGTATTTAAAGTTAAATATGTATACTCACACATATATACAGCTCTTTGAATACACACATTTAATGAATTGCATTTCCCCTTTGAACTTTCATTTTTTTATTGCCCTTGACTAAGCAATTACAAAGAGCAGCCCGCGTCCAGTCCGTCCAGCTCCGAGTTGGAGGTGTGGGGAGAGAAGGGCTCTTCACTGACCACCCCCCCACGGCAGCCTAGCAGTGTCACCCTCTGCTTCTCTCTGCTGTGCAGCTTGCTGGTGAAGAGAGTCTGGGAGCCCCAGCCCTTGTGGTGGGGTGTATATAGTCACAGCTCTTGAGTTGGAGACAACCTTGGAATTTCACTCAGGTTAAAAAAAAAAGTTAACCCTATGTCTTAAAGAGGCCCAATTAGGAGTCCACCTTACAGCCTCAGAGGCCTGATAATTCAACATCTGATGTCCTGGTTTCAGTAGAGCTCCATGTATTTGGAAAATAAATGTTTCAGGTACTTTACGCTGTTGTGTAAATATTTTAAAAGTTGTTCTCAATAGATTTACCATATACATTGAGGAGAGTTACCAAAATAAAGAGAAACAGCCCAGCCCTCTCAGGCAAACATTATCCTGGGTGGACCTCTCCTTTCAAGAGCTCCCAGGTTAGTGATTTGAAACAGAGGCAAGAGCTGAAAAACTTAAATGTGTTTACTTTGACTTGCAGTAGCAATTTGGGAAAATGTTTAAATTTAGATTTAAAGTTTTGGTTAGCCAGTTAGCCATTTGTACATTCCTGCAGAGTATCCAAATTTTTATTCGTATATTTTCATAGTTGAGTGGTAAATGTCCAACATGGCTAACTTTTATCCAAACCCCACAAATACGGTTATCATATAGGAATTTATGGGATAGAAATGTAAAGCATTGTATATCACACTGAGTTAACTTGAGGATATTACTTGCGTTTGGTGTTTGGTCCTCTTTTTTGACCCGTGTTGACAGTCAAAATATTTAAGAAAGTAAATACTGAAACGTACTCTCCGAGTTTGTTGTTGTTAACCTAATTGCTATTAGTTATTTCTAAGCAAGGTCTTCAATTTTTTTCTCTCTTAATTGCAATACAGAAAGCTATGGAATAGATGAAGGTAACAGGATTCCTTTAAAATAACTGCATTTGCTTGCAATTGCAACCGATGGAATGATAACGGGATGTTTCAGTTTTCAGTTAACTTTTATTTTAAAATTTTTTCATTGGTTTACTCATGCTGTTAAATCAATGGAACTACTAGCTAAAGTGATTTTAAAGAGGAAAATAACCTTCTAAAATTTGGGTTGAATTTTCTGTATGATTTATAATTTGACAAATTAGAAGAAATCAAAATACCGAGCAGTTAATTGGATTAGAATCATCCACTAGGTTCCTAGTGGGTATTTTCTTTCCATGTGTCTCAACAGCCTGCTAAATAATTGGTTTTGTATAAATCATAACAATTTAATACATTAATTTGAGGCACATGCTCTCAAAATTATAAAATACTTGTAATTTATTATGTGATACGTTCAACCTTGATTCCAAGTCATCTGATTTTGAAATCAGGCTTTAGAAGCTCCCTCTTTAAACTCTTTTAGCTCCGTGAATAATATAGATAGGATTATAATAAAGTGGAAAACTCTTAAACTTATAAAGCTGCTCGTGAGACAATTTTTTGTTCCCTCCATATTTACAGACTTTAGTTACTTGTAAAATAATTGCTTTAAATAACTGTTTTTTAGCCTTCATATATTAATACCTGAACTAATAGCTCATATTAATTAAACATACATAAACTTGGAGCAATTATTTAGAAAACCATCAAATACATAATCAGCTAAATCAGACATTCAAAACTATGAAAAAAATCTACCTTGTATAAAACTGCTCATTTTGGTAATTCAAGCAGTGCTGTAACAGGTACATAAATTCCTTTAAAAACACTGTTTAAGAGAATTCCACTCTGTTTAAAGCATTTTCATAGAATGATGTGCCACCGATGAAGTTTTTACTCATGGATGATGATGAAATGAAGTGTGTCCAGTGTTTTCTACACTGGGGATGTTGCACTGAAGTATCTTCTGGTGTGTGGATCATGTTTTGCAGCCAGGGACTATGAGATTCAGAGAGAAAGAATAGAACTGGGACGGTGCATCGGAGAGGGCCAGTTCGGAGACGTGCACCAAGGCGCTTACACGAGCCCGGTGAGTCCTGTCAGACAGCAGCCGAGCCGCTCCTGCTTACGTGTAGGCTGCTCCTGTTCGTCTTCATGGGTCCTTAGTTCTTCAGGGTGTTTGCAGTTGTCCTTCATAAAGCTTGTCACGCATGTCGACTCACTTGCTATTTTCAGAAACCAAAAACTGGCAAAATTAGCTCCTGAGAGCTGGGTCTTCTATTCGTTTTAGTCTTTCATCCAGCCTCTGTCATCAGTAATGGATTCCACAGGTGATTGTTCCCTTGGGTGCAGTTGACAAATAGATAACAAACAGATGCAAAGTCAACAGCAGTTAGCCAGCGTTCCCAATTACCTGCATTCTCAAGAAAAGAACATTAATTTGCCCCAAGTTGCCCTCCAAAAGAGATCAGTGAATTTTTTTTAATGATTTATTTAAGAATCATCTCATTGAGATACAGTTTGCATACTATGAAGTTCACTCTGTTAAAGTGCACAATTCAGTGGTTCTTTAGTATATTCACAGAGTTGTACGGCCATCACCGCAGTCAATTTTGGAACATTTTCTTTACCTCAAAAGAAACCCCATACCTTGGCGAGGATGTGGAGAAGAGGGAAGCCTTGTACACTGATGGTAGGAATGTAAATTGGTGCAGCCACTGTGGAAAACGGTATGGAGGTTCTTCAAAAAAGTAAAAATAGAACTACCATATGATCCAGCAGTTCCACTCCCGGGTATGTATCCAAAGAAAACAAAAACACTAATTTGAAAAGATACACGCACCCCAGTGTTCATAGTAGTAGTATTTACAATAGCCAAGACATGGAAGCATCCTAAGTGTCCATCAACAGATGAATGGATAAAGAAGATATGGTATGTATATGTATACAATGGAATATTATCCAGCCATAATAAAGAATGAAACTTTGCCATTTGCAACACCATGGATGGACCTGGAGGGTATTATGCTTAGTGAAATGAGTCAAACAGAGAAGGACAAATACTGTTATGTTATCACTTCTATGTGGAATCTAAAAAATAAAAGAAATGAACCAATGTAACAAAACAGAAACAGACTCATAGACATAGAGAACAAACTAGTGGTTACCAGTGGGGAAAGTGGATGGGGGGAGGGGCACGATAGGTATGGGATTAAGAGGTGCAAGCTACTATGTATAGAATAAATAAGCAACAAGAGTATATTGTACAGCACAGGGAATATAGTCAATATTGTATGGTAACCTTTTTTATAATAACTTTAAACGGAATATAATCTATAAAAATTTTGAATCACTGTGTTGTACACCTTAAACTGATATACTATTGTAAATCAACTATACTTCAGTTTAAAAGAAAGAAAAGACAAAAGAAGCCCCATACCTGTTAGCAGTCACTTCCCATTCCACCCTCTCCCCAGCCCTTGCCAATCACCAGTTTGCTTTCTCTTTCTCTAGAGTTGCCTGTTCTGGACATTTCATATAAGTGAACTCACACAGTGTGTGGCCTTGTATGATTGGTTTCTTTCCATTGGCATAATGTTGTCAGGTTCATCCACGTGGTAGCCTGTGTCAGTACTTCATTTCTTTTTATGGCCAAATAACGCCCCATTGTATGGACAGACCACTTTTTGTTTCGCCGGTCATCAGTTGACGGTCGTTTGGGTTATTACCACTTTTTGGCTGTTATGCACAGTGCTGCTGTGAACACTCGTGTGCAAGTTTTTGTGTGAACATAGTTTTCGGTTCTCTTGAGTATGTGTGTCTAGGAGTGGAATTGCTGGGTCATCTAGCCACTGTTTAACTTTCTGCCGACCTGCTAAGCTTTTTTCCAAAGAAACTGCCCCAGTTTCAGTTCCTAGCAGCAATGTGTGAGGTTGCCCATTTCTCCACACCTCGACCAACGCTTGCTGTTGTATGTCTTTTTTTATTAGATCAGTAATTTTTAAATGACAGTTTAAAATAACAGTACATACATGTTCAAGAAACTATTTTTAACTAGAATAATGACAGTGAACAGAGATGGCTTTAGTAGGGATATAATAGCACAGATGATTGACCTTTTGTGACCCCCGATATGGAAACTGCAAATGGCAGTTTTTCCCCTTGTGTCTCCTTACCTATCAATTTTCCTATATCCTTTACACATGCGCTAGGGATACACTGATCATTACTTTTATAACCGGAGGACTGTAAAAGTCTTTCCTTCGAGGAAAATAGATAATTGTTGTTAGAGATTCTGTTTTTTAAAGTTCAGTTTTGAAAGTTTTTACCTTTATACTTATATAAAACTATATCATTTATTATATGTTTTTATCCATTATCTCTTTTTCCAGTTTTTTACTGTATCTGTATTGTTTATCTTCTTAATTCTCTTAACTCTGCTCTTGAGGCAAAATGCATTAGGAAGAGCCCTGGATCTAAATTTGATCAGAAGACCTAAATCTTAGACCTGGATCTACCTGACTGTGAGATGTAAGGGAGGTGAGGCTTCTTGATCTAAATTATTGGACTTGAACCCAGTGGTCTCTGAGCTTCCTTACGTCTCTAAAATTCTTAATAAGCAAGCATTCTGAAGTTCCTGGAGTACAGGGACTTACCAGGATCACACAGCTAAAAGCAGGTCTGATAGACTTTATTTCAATCACTTGTAAGTAATTCATTTTAGTTGTAAAAATACAAGAGAAAAATTTTTTTCAATATCCATAGTGTTTACTAAGTATTTGTTGAGTGAATCCCAGCCTCCAGGAAAATATCAGTGCTCACCTTTATTGTTGAATGTCTTTCTGATACACATCATATGTGAATGCTTGTTTATTTTGTTTTTCATGTGGGAATCTAATTTTATAGCCAGTTCATTCCTCTAGGTTTCCGTTAAAAATCCTTTTTCCAGATTATGCTCTTTAGTGTTCTGTAAGATGTAATAACATTTTATCAGGGATTCTTAATAATTGGTCAAATGTAACTCAGCATAGATTTCATGGGCAAGAACCCAGCACTGGTTACGTTATTTGAGATTCAGTGAATTCTTTTAGCAGTTATTTGTCGATCGTCCCCCAAGAGGCAGCTCGGTGGTGGGGACATTGTAATGAACAAAACGATCAGGATTCTTGCTCTCACAGACCTTAAATTCTATCTGAGGCACGAGGGGACCGGCAAAAGCAAACACACTGAGTATCAAGTGGGGAATCTGTGCTCCGAGAAAAACAAAGCCTGGGCTTGGGGAGGTCAGGGCCCTCTTCCCGTGAGACGCTGACACATGAACAAGGAGGGGCGGTCCCATGAACAAGGAGGGGCAGTCCCTGAGCTCCCCGTGGGGAGTGTGCCAGACAGGGCGGAGCTCCAGTGCAGGGACCCCAGGTGGAGCTGAGCCGGGAAGGAGGATGACGAAGAGAAGCGAGCAGAGGGGGACTGGGCTGGGTGCAGTGGCGGCACACGGGGTGGCAGGGCAGCCCTCATTCTCAGAGTCATGGGCACGAGGCGTATCTGAAGGCTCCCAGCACACACTTTTCTTTTTTTCTTAGGCCCGGTTATCAGGTTCATTTTTATAATTTGAGCATCGCTGGTCATCTGCGCACGCTCGCATCATTATTATCCTTAAAACCTTGCTTTACCTTGGTTTTTATCCTTAAAAACCATGCTTTAAATCTATTTTCTCTTAATTCATCCCAGAGCAGTCCTTCTCTAGACTCACTTGTTAAGATCTTTTGAGTGTATGCTAGCTGTTACTAACTCAGAGCCTCATCACCTGCCCCTCACCTCGGCCTCGTGGACACCAGGGTGGCATTTTCATTCAACATTGAAGAACTGCTCTGTCCCCCTAAACTCTGCTTGTGTTTTAAAGGAGGTAATGAAAATTGTGTCGTGAGCAGTTACCGAGATGTGTTCGCATCTGCCCCCTTTTAAAGGCTTTTAGAAAACCCTGTGCTCAGTTCTGGTCTTGCGTGCTGTGGACTGACATCTTCTTCTACAGCATCAGGTCTCTGTGACCAGCCGCTCTGACAGCTTGGCACCCCCCAGGCCTCTGCAGCCTTGGGCCACTAGTCACCGGGCCTAGTCCATGGACTGATGGCCGAGCCACCTGGTCTGCCCACGTACACCCCTTTGTAGACATGCGGCCCGTGGAATCTCAGGCTTAGCACCCACTCGAAACTATGCATTTTTAGAGAGCAGTATTTTCCTTGCGTTTCTTTACTGTCTTAATAAAGCACCATGTTCAATATTTGAGTTGAATTGACAGGATTGATGGTGACTTATGGTCTTACAGAAGTTTCTGTTGTTATTCAGATCTCCTGTAAAATGGGCATTTTGTGTCATTTCTCAGGTATACCAATCAGCCTTATGCACATAGAGGTAGAATTCATGGTGCTGGTCCTGGAAGTGTGCTGTGTAGTTACAGAGGACAGACTAAGTCATTCAGAGCAGAGTGGTTGCATTGAGGTGTCCTGGGTTGCTAGTGACTCTCAGAAGGCCCCAAACTCAGACGTTTAACAGATGGGCCTCTGTGCCAGCAAGCTGCCATCCCACCAACATCTCAAGCCTGTCTTGTCCAGAGCTGGGCTTCTGATCTCCCCCTTCTCTCACCAGAAACCCGAACTCACCCTCCCCGACGCCCAGCCTGCTGTCTTCCTGCGCCCCCCCCCCCCCGCCTCCGTGGCGCCTTTCCTCACCTCCCCTTCCGGGGGGCCTCTCACTTAGGGTAGAAGCCACAGGGTCTGACCCCTCTATCCACCCCTAGCCGGCATCCCCTCCCCTCCAGCAGTTCTTTATTCTCATCCCCTCTCTTCTCCTCTCCTCTCGGGGAGGTTACCTTCTAACCCGCTCCAGTCCACGACGGATGTCTCGTTCACCATGTTTGTCTGTATCCTCCTCTGGGATGTCAGTTGGAGTAGCACAGGGGTCGCCGGCCCTTGTTCACTGGTGCAGCCTAAGCCCCTACAGGAGTGCCCGGCACTACGGAGAGGAAATGTCTGTGGAACAGACGAATCGCCTGCAGCGTTTTACATGCACGTCTGTTTTCTGGGGTTTTTCTACAGAGGATTTTAACTGTTCCTCTGACTCTTGAGATTGTACGATCCTGGTTCTGTCTGATCCAGAATCCAGAGTTGCAGAATAAACAGCCTGTCCTCAACATGCCCATTAATTAACATAGAGACCCTCTTGTTGCATGTGTCCCTGTCACAGGAGAATCCAGCTTTGGCGGTTGCAATTAAAACATGTAAAAACTGTACTTCGGACAGCGTGAGAGAGAAATTCCTTCAAGAAGCCTGTAAGTTTCTAGAAATGTCTGTGGAACTCCATTTGACTTTCTGTGAAATCCAAACTGTCTCTGAAGATGTAAGAAAAATAATGTTTTGACTTTTAATGAGACAACTACATTTATTACGTTGCCATGCAATTAGTATCTGTATTTGTAGAGGCACGTGTCTACAGAGTTTCCCAGGTCAGCTGTCATGTTTGGGATGTAAAGGCAGATTGATTTCCTGTCCCTTCATCCTCCGGTACCTTGCACCATAGCCACCTTCACCCTGGCATTGGGCAGATATATAGAGATGCCAGCAGGCCCTGGAGTTGGGGGTGAGCGGGACAGACACAGTCCCTGCGGGATGGAGCCCACGGATGAGTGCGGGAGAGGAAATCCTGCCCGTCCCGAGGGGGCTGCTATGGAGAGTTGTGTGTGATGGGTCCTCTCTCCTGAGTGCAGACCCTCGGAGAGTCAGGATCTGGTCCTGCCCGTTTGCACTCATCAGGCTCTTTCCCTCCTGCCCTCAAGCTGGGTCGTCTTCCTGCTTCCGTTCGGCTTGTCCCTTCTGACCACATACTTTAATAGTGTCTCCTTAGGAGGCTTTGTCACAGGGCCCTGCTCTTTCCCTTCCTAAGTGTCCATAATTAAATATGCATTGTCTAGGGATTTCCCTGGCGGTCCAGTGGGTAGGACTCTGCGCTCCCAGTGCAGGGTACCCGGGTTCCATCCCTGATCCGGGAACTAGATCCCACATGCGTGCCACAACTAGGAGTCCTCATGCCGCCACTAAAAAAAAAAAAAGATCCTGCATGCCACAACAAAGATCCCGCATGCTGCAACTAAGACCGGGTGCAGCCAAAACAAACAAACAAATATATATGTACACACACACACACACGCACGCATACGCACATGCACACACGCACGCACACACACTGTTTAAAAGTTACTCTTGTCTCTGTCTCCCTCTAGTCTTTAAGCCCCAGTGGGGCAAGGAACGTCTCTCTTCTGCTCACCGCTCAGACCCAGAGATAGCACAGGGCTTAACTCATAGAAGGCACTCAGTAGCCACTGGTCGTGTGAATGAGTCTTGGTGCCCTTCATCACATGTACATTGAATTTCAGAAACATTTACCACCCAGTAGTCCAGTAAGTCACAAGTCATGGATGAGTCATGTTGTGAGTTCATCAGTTAAGTCGCAGCAAATCCCAGTCCTGTCCCTGGATCTTTGACTTAAGTATAAGACGAGGCCTGTTGATGACTTCTGTCTCAACTAGTTTATTTCTTCAGGGCACCTAGGCCAAGAAAACACAGAATATATATCAGCCATCATTACCTAACAGCCTGTCCACCTTACCTTTGGTGGTAAAGTGCATTATATATTTTCAAAAATGCACATTTTTAAAACGGCTTCTCTTTCTCTAAAATTTTTATGAACAGTTATTGTATCGTGATTTCTGTAGGGCTTTGGAATCACCATTACAGAAATCAACTTTAGAGTTTCACAGGAGTAGTCAGTTCAAACTAAGCTTGTTCTCTTTTTGAAAGGCTGTTATTTCAGAGAAACATGATGGATGTAGTATACCTAAAATCCTGTAGGGCTTTGACAGGTTCTATACGTAAGAGGGGAAGTAAACTTTTTCTATAAAGGACCACATAGTAAATACCTTAGGCTCTGCAGGCCAGATGGTCTCTTGGCACAACTGCTCAGCTCTGCCATCAGGGTGTGAAAGAGCCACAGACAGCACATAAAGGGCTGAGCAAGACTCTGTTCCAGTGAAATTTCGTTTGTGAAAAGCAAACAGCCGCCCCTATAGCCTGAGCCCCTTGCCCCGGGTGGATGAATAACAGGTCAAACCGCTACACCTATTGGGTTTTAGTTCAGCAGGGGTAGAGTTTCCTAGTGACCACAAGATTCTCCTCTTAGCCCTGTACTGTGTAGTACTTTTAATAATTACTTCTGTAAAGGGTAACATAAAACCAGAAATGATGGTAAGTCAATTGAAAATGAGTGAATATACTGGGTTCCTGAATGTTTATCCAGAAATATCACATTATACGTAAGTGATGAACTGCATTGACAGGATGAAACTCAGTGATACGTTTTGGATTTTGTGCCAGGTGTTTATGTGGGGGGGGGGGGTGCTTGTTTGTTTTTAACTACCAGGTCCTATTCTTGGAATATGTAGGCAAAATTGAGGGGGAGAAAATACCTTAAGGGTTTCGGTTCTCTCAAGTGAGTGTGAGGTGACTTTGCAAGAAGCCAGTGTAATCCTTGGGTGCGTTGGTAGGATATACAGTCCTCCATATCCGCAAGTTCTGCATCTGCAGATTGAACCAACTTCACTTGAAAATATTTGGAAAAAAAATTCCAGAAAGTTCCACAAAGCAAAAACTTGAATTTGCTGCGCTCTGATATCTATTCACATAGCGTTTACATTGTATTAGGCATTACAAGTAATCTAGAGATGATTTAAAGTGTAAAAAGGATGTGCGTAGGTTACGTGCAAATACTCTGCCGTCTTTCAGAAGGACTGGAGCGTCTGCAGGTTTTGGTTCCCCCGGGGTTCTGGAACCCCTCCCCTGTGGACACGGAGGGAGGGCTGTAGGGCGTCTAGAGCGAAAACAGTGAGAGGCCTGTCTACTCCACACGCATCCAGCACTGAGTTGCGGTCCACACTGGGCTCCATACTAAAATGGACACTAAAAGATATTTGCTCCTGCTGTGATTCTGATGTCCTTGCTTGGCCTCATAAAAATCAACCCCAGGGCTTCCCTGGTGGCGCACTGGTTGAGAGTCCGCCTGCCGATGCAGGGGACGCGGGTTCGTGCCCTGGCCCGGGAAGATCCCACATGCCGCGGAGCGGCTGGGCCCGTGAGCCGTGGCCCCTGAGCCTGCGCGTCCAGAGCCTGTGCTCCGCAACGGGAGAGGCCACAGCAGTGAGAGGCCCGCGTACCGCAAAAACAAAAACAAACAAACAAATATCAACCCTGTATTGGTCCCCAAAATTTTAAAAAGTTTTCTTCATTTCAATAGTCTATGAAGTCCAGGTACTTTGGGGACCACTGCAGTAGGTCACATGTAAAGTCACTTCCCGTTTTGAGGTTCTGTGAAGTTTGTCCTGCTTCTCGCTAATCCTAGTCAGCGTACTGTGCAGGTGAGCTCCTTAGCCCTGATACTAGATGTTAGAGATGTATACACACTTAAAAATACGCACCCACACATAGGTATGTGCGTGTATGTGCAGGGCCCTCTTGGTCATCTTGGGCTCAGTGAGGCAGCCACACTCACGTGACAGCCACAGGCCATATCTGGCATCAGACTTTCTTTGACGGGAGTACAGGACTGGAAATAGCAGATCAGCATTCCTCCTGTAGGGAAGTCCTCACAGCAGTCCGGGAACTCGCTTGCTTAGCCCTGATAGTGATCAGGTACTGTGAGGGGATGAGGCCACAATGGTGGGCTCAGGAGCCACCCGGGTCCAAAGTAGAAGCCCTCACAAACCCGTCGCGTGGGCTCTGGGGCTCTGCAGGGGACACCCAGCCACACCCACGCTCAGAGGAGCTCTTGCTACCCCATCAGCAACTTACCAATCGGGGTGGTTTTTACCATGAAGGGTATTGCTTAGAAAATGAATCACACATTCCAACTTCATGAGATTTCCAAAGGAAAACCTAGAAAGTTAGCCCCAGGTCAGATTTGTCCGTGGAAAATAAGAGGAGGTTTTCTTAACCCTTAGCTCTCACAGTAGGTCCCCCTGTAGAGTTGCTCACAAGTTCACTGCAGGGGCATCCTGTGCCTCACGTGGTCTGCTTTTTCTGTGCCATTTTATGGCGATTTGTGAGCTGACCTGACTGGTGGAATTGAATTCCCAGTTGCCACATCATTAGCCTTGAGTTTTTTTTATTCTTACTTTTTGGCTGTGCCACACAGCTTGTGGGATCTTAGTTCCCCGACCAGGGATTGAACCTGGGCCCTGGCAGTGAAAGCACCGAGTCCTAACCACTGGACCACCAAGGAGTTCCCCATTAAAATGCCTTGAGTCTTATTTGAACTAGTCTTCAGGAAACTGAAATGTCTTCAAAAGACTGACCGTGGACCACTGTTTTCCCCCAGTAACGATGCGTCAGTTTGACCACCCTCACATTGTGAAGCTGATCGGAGTCATCACAGAGAACCCCGTCTGGATCATCATGGAGCTGTGTACGCTCGGAGAGGTACCTGCCCCACCTCCGCCTCCCGCCCGCTCCGCCTGCCCCTTCGGGGAAGTGTGCGACATACACCCTAGTGAATATGAGTAGAGCGTCTGCATCAGTAAGTTCCCAAGTAATCCCCTAACTCAGTGCTGGCAGCAGTGTCTTCCCATCCAAAGGATTTGTCAGGACTGGAAGCAACAGGTGACCAAGCGGTTCTTTTTTCCCTCTCTGTTGCTGTTGTCTGAAGAACAAGCCCAGGGCTTTGAGTGAAAGAAGCAACGTTAGTGGAGTTTGGGTAAATTAAGGCTGAATTTATGTAAATCAGAACAGTTGCTTCATCTTTTTGGGCATTCACTTTTCAGTGTCTTTCAGACCAACTCATGTTAGTCACAGTTTCTTTTTAAAACGTGAGTAACAGACTGTGGGCCGATGTCCTTATTTGACTCTGTCTGGATCACAGAAGCTCTTGAGTCGGTGTATCACCACCGCCTGGACGCTGGTCCCACCCGGGCCTGCTGAGCCACACAGCCTCTGTCTGTGTCCCCAGGCTGCTCTGTGGGCCCCTGCTTGGGGCAAACATGGCAACTTTCCAGATGTCTACACATGACTCTGTGGCACTGAAACCTAGTAGTTTAACCTTCTGACACATTATTCACGTTACTTCTTCTTTGAAGGACACCAAACAGTCTTGCTTTTAATGAAAATTGGGGTTTTCTGTTATCAGGAACCCGAGGGTGCTTTGGGCCCGTCGTCCTCTTCGTGACGGCGTCAGCCCTGCCTTCCGAGGACAGGCCACTGCCTGGTGCCTCCCACTGCTGTCCCCTTCAGCTTGGGTAACAGTTGGCGAGTGAAATATCTGAGGGCCTCTCTGGTGTCTTTCCTTCCTCTACCATGCCTTGCCAAATAAAATGGAATGTTTACGGATTTTTTTTGTTCACATTATTTTTCTGCTTTTGTTTTTGGAGAGTTTGCTAATTCTTCTGGCTTAAATCATCAATATTTCTCCTTCGTGTAGGAGATTTTGTAGGATTGGAGTGTTAAATTCATTAGCCTTCTTTGCTGTATTATTAGCATTTAGCTGAATTAGTCATGATAGTGGTAGTAAGGACCAGTAAGCCTAGTGCGTAAATACCCAACACGGGACCGTTTTATCCTTCTTCACCCAGAACCTCCTGGGGGCAGAGGGAGAACCTCTTGCCTCCCCTTCCTTTTCACCCCCTTGTGCTCAGGTCTGCCTGGGGCATGGGGAGGTCTGAGGGAGGTGGACTGACCATGGCTGTGGAGGAGGCTTGTTTGAACGGTAACTGGAGCTTTTTGTTCTCCAGCTCTCATTATCTGGCAGTATTTTATACTGTGCCTTTATTCATTCCCTGGAAGCATCTTTCCATATTTTTTCAGAAATGTGTCTAGAGTCATGAAGATTCCAATTTTGCAATTGGATCTCAAGTAAAGAATGATTAACCATAATTTCTGAGCTGATATGTTTCTTTCATTATGCTTTTTTTATTAGGGTAGAATTGAAGCCATTCTCATAAAAATGCATTTGGAAATGATCAGCATTGTTTTTGAATATAGCTCTTCTGCTGTTGATTTTTAGTCTCTGACACTAACTCTTTCTCTTTTTTCTTTTTTGGTCACTGTTCAAAAAGCTGAGGTCATTTCTGCAAGTAAGGAAATACAGTTTGGATCTAGCATCTCTGATCCTCTATGCCTATCAGCTTAGCACAGCCCTTGCGTACCTAGAGAGCAAAAGATTTGTGCACAGGTGAGACCCGGGTGTGAAGCTGGTGAGCTGCCTCTGAGCAGGAAGGAGGTGGGGAGAGGTTCTCACTGGGCCCTGAGACCTTTCGTTCCCCCAACTCTCGTACACGGACGGCACTAAATGTCCTGCTGTGCGTATCCCAGCCGAGTGTAGTGCCCTGGCGTGGGAACACATGGATTTGAGGGGTTTTTCCTCACATGGAGTATGAAACAGGTCCATTATTCCTTCCACAAATACTACTGACAGCCTCTACGTGGCACTATGGACCTAAAACAGATATTGTCCTGGGACTTTCCAGGACACCATAGCGCCAGGAGTGACATCAGTTGGCCTTCTGCAGAATTTCTATTCATAATCTGGGTCTCTCATTTGAATACAAGTTAAAGCCCTTACAACTTATTTGCCTTGCATTGTGTTGTTATCCGGCACTGAAACGGACTGCATCAGCAAAATCGTTTACAAGTGTTCCAAAGATCATTTTACTTTCGTTAATGAGGTTTTTTAGTAACCGTAGAGTTACACACCCTGGTCGTGTATACTGTCTATCAGTTAATGCAGCTGGCAATATGATTGCATGAAAACTAATAAGTGGTTTCATTATTTGAGAATATTCTTCACCATCATTCAAAGTAGTAATCACCACATTAATGAGTAAGTATCTGCCAAAGGGAATATATTTGAAGTAAAATAATAAAAGTATCTCTCTGTTTCAGTGTATAATAAAGCTCTTGTTTGTATTGTATATAAGCTGTCTTTCAGAGTACCTGTGTGTTTTTATATAATATAGATGAGTTTGTGGGGTTTTTCCCTTGTATTAAAATGTATCGTCCCAAATTCTTCCTTATCAGGGACATTGCTGCTCGGAATGTTCTGGTGTCCTCAAACGATTGTGTAAAATTAGGAGACTTCGGATTATCCCGATATATGGAAGACAGTACTTACTACAAAGGTAAGAAATCAGAGCAATAAATCAGAAACAGGCTCGGGATCTTTAATGATTTTTAATTCTGAAAAAGGTACATTCTAATATGCTCAGCTGATTTTTGACAGTGGTATACAGTCAGGTCCGTGGAGGAAAGACAGCCTTCTCAACAAAGGTGCTGGAGCAGTTGGTCATCCCTGGCCAAGAAATGACCCTCAACCTGAACTCACTCGCCATTAACTCAAATGGATCATAGACTTAAATATAAGACATAAAACTATGAGACTTCTAGGAAAAAACATAGGAGTAAAGTTTTCGGATCTAGGGCCAGGCAAAGAGTCCTTAGGCTTGACACCAAAAACAGACATAAAAGGGAAAAATTGATAGCTTCTTCCTCATCAAAATTAAAAATTTTTGTTCTGCAAAAGACCCAGGCAGAAGGATGAAAGGACAAACTACAGAGTGGGAGGAAGTATTTGCCAACCACATGTCTAACAAAGGACCGGTATCTAGACTACAGGTAGAACTCTCAAAACTCAGCAGTAAAAAAAGAAAGGACACAGGTAGAAAGTGGGCAGAAGATATGAAGAGAGACTCCACCGCAGGGGTTATTCAGGTGGCACATAAGCATATTACCCACCAGGGAAATGCAGAGTGAGCCCACGGGGAGGTATCGTGCACACCTGTCAGGATGGCTAAGGTAACAGTAGTGACAACACAGAATGCTGGCAGACACAGACAACATAAATTGCTTGTGCAGGTGTAAACTGGTACAGCTGCTCTGGAAAAGAGTTTGGCAGATTCTTAGAAAACTAAACATGCACCTCCCGTACGACCTAGCTATTACACACCTAGGCATTTCTCCCAGAGAAATAAAAACTCACATTTACACAAAACTGGTGTTTGTTCATTGTAGCTTTATTTCTAGCAGCCAACAGCTGGAATCAGCCTGGATGTCCTCCACTTCGTAGACACAGCTGGCTAACCTCCCCGCAGAGTGGTGGGTGCCCTGGCTCAGTGCACGCCGCCGGACTTACAGATCTGCAGTCTGCCGACTCCAGAGACTTTGATCCTTTAGCTTGGGAGCTGGACTCTAGCTGAAGGGATTTTTTTCTTTAGTTTTCCCAATCTTGGAATCAGATTGACTTGGTTCTTCAAATTGTTACTGATTTTCATATTGCTGGTACTTCAGCTAAGGTTTGGATTATAAGTCCATATTACGCTTTTAGTATATTTTCTAGTTATTACCACCATTTTACAAAGGCCAGCTTCTTGCTCAGTTTGTTTGCTTTTTGCATTGCCGCAAGATGAGCCCGAATCTTTCGTCCACGTTAGTCTTCTTCACTTTATACTGTGGCCGCTGATCGTCCTCTGTCCGAATGCTTCTGTATGCTACAGCCTGACCCTTTTCACGCGGAAGGAAAAGTCTGGTGGCTTACTCATTCTGATTATGTAGTCATTTAATTTTAAAACGACCAAGCCACCTTTCCACTGTTTTAAAATACATTTCCTATTACCTCACATCCTGACTAGTCCGAACCCTAGAATTCCACTAAAGGGCTAAACTCCAAACAGCACGGTGGCCAAGACCCTACATCATCTAGACAGCACTTAAAGTGGGCAACTGACGAGTTCACGCATTGTTATCTCAGAGAGGTCACTAAGTCTAGATCCTGCTAGGCTTCAGGAGAAACAGCCCCTCGGGGTTAGGGGTTCCTCGCTTGGAGCACAGCTGGAGAGTCATTTGTTGTGAGGGAATCAGAGGCTTTGACCTCAGTTGTCATGAAGGTGCATGAAGTTAAGTGGAAGAAAATTAATGAAACAGATGTAATTGTCTTCCGATTAAAAGTCTTGAGAGCACCCTTGCTTATAGAAGAGAGCCCGGCACCCTAGCACCCTGCTCCAGGGCCCTCTGGATCAGGGCCTGTCCCCGCCCGGCGCCTGCAGCCCCTCCTCCCCCCTGCCCCTCCCCCTGCCACACCCTCTCACTTCTGCTGGATTTGAGAAACTGTTTCTGACTTTTGGAATTAGGACTCCCTGAGGGCTGGTATCTGGTGAAAGAATGTTGAGGGAGGTGGCACAGAGGAAGGATCTTAGGCCTCTCAAGAGAGCCAGTGCCAGGCTTTTGGAGAGTGTCCTTTGTGCTCTGTCCCCCTCCCGCCCTTCACGTACTGGTGGTGGCACAGCCCGTCCTCACACTTCGTGGATTCTGTGTTTGCACGCTCGTCTGCTTGCTGAGACATGTAACTTCCCGAATCCACACTCCGATGCGTTCATAGTCAGGCGTGATGTGCTCAGGGCAGCGACAAAGTGTCCGTTTGGGCTGGTGGACAGCGAGGGGCGGGCAGCACCTGTGGCTCTGGGCCAGTTGGGCAGGCTGGAACCCCAGCTGTGGCCCCTGCGTGCGGGGCCAGGGGACGGGGGGCAGGGAGCAGGGCCTCAGGCAGGTCAGCAGCACATCCATACCTCATTTTCCAAAGAAGTCAGAACCTACCAGGATAAGTCTGTAGGACTTACGGTTATAATCTGTGTGAGGTATGGATATATACGTACACATTTCTCCCGGGAGCAGTGGTTCGGTGTTCAAAGCGACCTTATAGAGTAACTGCCGTGAATGAGAATTGACTGTGTGTGGCTACCAGGCCGTTTCTAAAGCCAGGCCTCCAGCCTGTAGATGAAGCCGGCACAACTGAGCTGGGAGCTGATGCCTCCCGGTAACCGGGGCGCCCTCCTCCCCTGCTCCCTGCCTCTCCTCTGTCACGCCCAGACAACCCAGCATCAGGGCGTGCAGGGCAGTTCTCCCAAAGATTTTGGTACTAAAAATCTCAGCTAGCTCTAACTGTTAGATTCCTGAGCAGGTGACAGGGAAGTTTTACTTTCTAAAATTAATCTTCTAGCTTCCAAAGGAAAATTGCCTATTAAATGGATGGCTCCAGAGTCAATCAATTTTCGCCGTTTTACCTCAGCTAGTGACGTATGGATGTTTGGTGAGTATTTGAAAACTTTCGTGTTAGAATTACAGTTCACATATTCTCTGAGAGGGACTGAGCTCTGTGTGTTGTCAGAGTCTGTAGGTTGGTTTGCCTTCCCTTGCCTGGCCTCCATCACTGCTCGCCCGCGCCCGGCCCCCAGATCCAGCATGTCTAAGATTGCCCTTCATCTCTGTTCTGGAATCTGACCCCTTCCTGACTTGTCTCAAGTCTTGGAAGCGTGACCCTTCGTGTTCTATAGCTGCTGCTGCTCTGGTGTCCACTGTGTCCCCTCCTTCCTGCTCCAAGTCCGTCCCTGTCGTCGTCCTCCTGCGCTGTGTTCTTGCAGAGCCCCCAGTGGAGCGAGGGTGTGGCTGCCGTTCACTCTGCAGTACTTACTTCTACTACCTTATCCGGATTTTTAAATCACTCACCTTTTTGGTGTGGATGACACTCCATCCCCGCCCCACTTTCTTGGTGTTACTCCTTCTTTCTGGACACCTCATCCTGACACCTTCTCCTCCGGTTGAAACTCTTTTTAACCTTCAGGAAGAGGTTGGAAAGAGTTTCTTCATTCACCTGAAATATCCGCTCTGCCATGAAGCCCCATGTAGCAGGTGTGCCGTCCAGGCATAGACTCCCTTCCTCTGCTTTCCCAGCGCTTCCTCTCTGTGTCGAGACACTCACGTGTAGATCTTGTGAATAGTCCTGTGTGCATATTTTCTATGCCGGATTTTAAACTGCTTCCCAGGAGATGCCCTGTTAAGTTTATGCACCTTCTTTTTCCTATAAATAAAAATAACTTTATATACATGAAGTACGTGTTCTCATTTTTTCTTCTGCTTCCTTGCTGTTGACTTTCAGTAACCATTTAGTGCCCTAACTGATATTAGGTAAAGGAAGGAATTCAGTAAAACAGGAAGTGGCGTGACATGATTGGAGAAGGCGCTGGAGTCCAATTGGCTTCAGATCCCAAGACCTCACCTGTCAGCTTTGTGACCCATAGAACAGGTTACTTGTCCTCTCAAGAGGATTTCACATTTCAAAGAGTCTAAGATGCCTTTTTTTTCACATTTCTGGAAGTAGGATTTGTCGCAAATCAGTGGCATTTCACAGTTGGTGTTAGTCGGGGGTGTGTTAGTCATGTGGGTCCTCGCCTACACTCATGTAGACTGTTTTGTTCATATTGGTGCTACTTTCTTGTCCGAATGAGTTTAAAACCGCTCTTTGGTAAGAATAAAATAATTCTAAGAGGTAACAAAGGATCACATTACAACTTAGTGGGCAGTATATCCCCCCCTTTTTGGTAATATAAAATAATAGTGTCTCTTATAATCAGTGGCACCTCAGATTTGATAAAATACAGTTTTTAAAGAAATGTAAGGTGTGAGAATTAAAGATAGTGTAAACTTCAAGGAAAGGTGCCAGAGACATATGAAGGTCTCAAGAAATGATACCCAGTGTTGTTATTACTAATGATGTCATAATTTCTGGTGAGAAAAGCAGAACTAAGGCATTATTTTTGTCATATACTCTTTACTTTGAAGTTGTTGGACTTTTGGCTAATTTCAGATCTAACTCACATTAATGTGATATAATGGCATAATGGTATATGCCTTCCTCCTCTGAGGCACACAGCATCTTAGGTGCTGAAGATACAGAAAGACAGTCACAGCCCCTCTGCGCCCAGGACCCGGTGTATGGGGCACGCTTGCGGTGGGTTAGACGGGAGCTTCCCAGGGGGCAGGGCAGGCAGCACAGGAAACTCACAAAGGGACCTGGAAGAAGAGAACTGGTGGAGAAGAAAATGAAAGGCATCGAATCTAGAGTTCAGCACGAGCCAAGTCACGAAGGAGCGTGTTCAGGTGCAGGTCTGAGTGGCCAGAGTGCCAAGTGATGGGAACCTGTAGAGGAATCTGAGTATTCTGAAAGCATAAGACTTAAGTTGCAGGGTTTTCTTCGTTAAGCTTCAAGCCAGCTGCTGTGATGATAAGCAGGTTGGACTAAAGTGGAGGGAAATCTAAAATGCATTCAGCTTTTTTTTGAATTGGTTCACTAAACTATGCTATGAAATATCACTGTAGCTGGTGGGCCATTTTCTAATGGAGAATTTTTTAGAGAAATAAACCTCTTAGAAAAGTAATGGGTTTTTTCTTGACAATACTGTTTCATTATTCGCATCATACTAAATTAGTATTCTTGTTCTTATTTGATAACAGAGCTGACTGAATGCGGCTTTATTTGGCTGATGTGCCCGTAATCACACAGGAGGTTCTCTCGTACGAACTATGAAGTTATTCCTGAAACGTGGGAATCGCACTCCTGCTGCTAAGTTTACCATTGTGTTTTCGTCCCCGCCTCACAGGTGTGTGTATGTGGGAGATACTGATGCACGGTGTGAAGCCCTTTCAAGGCGTGAAGAACAATGATGTGATTGGTCGCATTGAGAACGGGGAGAGGTTGCCCATGCCTCCGAACTGCCCTCCCACCCTCTACAGCCTCATGACCAAGTGCTGGGCCTACGACCCCAGCCGGCGGCCTCGCTTCACTGAGCTCAAAGCTCAGCTCAGGTAGGGTGGGGGGCGGGGCTGGGGCCAGGGCCGGGGGCGGGGCGGGCAGGCCTCCGCTGCTTCTCCCTGGCAGGTCCTTTTATCAGTACGTCTGAGGCAAACCTGCTTCTTGGGCAAACGTAATTACTTCTTTATGGATTTGTGTTTATTTATACATTGTTAGAGCCTTAAGAAGATTATGTCTTCAGGTCTTAATAAACTTCAAATTGTGATCAGGTGTCTCTGCCCTGACTGCTGACCAACGTGGCACAGCCCACAGGCTCTGCGTGGTCTAGTCCCCGCCCACTCCCCAGTCTCGCCTCACACCACCCCTTCCTCTGCTCCAGAGGCACCCGGTGCCTCTGCCTTCCCCCGCTTGCCCGCAGGGCGCTTCTCTTCAGTCTTTGGAGCCCAGCTCAGGGTTGCCTCCTGCAGGAAGCCTGCCTCATCTGCCCCACCCCCGAAGAGATAGCCCCTCCTATGGCACCTCTTCAGCGCTCTGTTGTTATAGCTCAGCATCCACGTTACCTGTTCAGCTGCCGTCTTGTGACTCCCACTTCGTGCCAGACGCCATTAGACCCAAACCTCCAGCAGCCCCCAGTCCCCTGGCAGGAACACACGGACTTCTTACTGTGTTGGGCCCCCCCACAGGGTCTGCGCAGAGCTGACCTGCTACTGGCCAGACTCAGAGGCCTCGACAGGTGGCCCTCATCCCATCTTGCTCATTTCTGGAGGCCTGGGGCAGAGCTTAGGACCAGCACCTGGTCAGTGCTCAGTAAACACTTGTCGAACTAAAGACTTAATACTTTAATCAACAAGATATTTTAGTATAATACATAACCAACCAGCCAACGCCATGGTTTAACGTGCTGTTTCATGTTTGGAGTACTCCCCTGATTTTATTTGAGTTTTGTTATTTGCTATATTCTCGTCATTTTTCATAAAAATTACCAAATGTCAGGGTCCAAAAGCCCCCGGCAGCTCCTCTAGCCCACCCCTATCCCCCAGCGCTTGAACCCTCTCAGCCTCCCCTCCCCTCTGGCAGCGCCACCTGCCCGGCTGACGAGTTTCCTCCAAAGAGAATGTTTCCAGGAAGGAGCAGGGCCTTAGTGAGAAGTGGGAGAGATTCGTCCAGTCAGCAGCTGTTTTGCTAAGTGTCTCCTTTGTTCTGAGCTAGGTTCTGTGAGCCCAGCAGTGAGCAAAACACAGTCCTGCCCCCGGTGTCTGAAGTCCGGCCGAGGAGGTGGGGGTCGGCACCGTTGGCCGCACGGTGACACCCCTGACGCTCCCCCTCCGGGCCCGCTTCCGGGGCCTCGCGCGTGACGGCCGGCCCCTCAGGTCTTTCAAGACAGCTTTCTTCAGGCTGGAGCTCTCCAGGTTCTTAATTCTCATGCAGCTTAGTTATACCTGCTGTCCCTGTTGGAGCTGGTTTTCGAACATGCTTCATTTCATGTTTTGCTCATACATTTTTTTGTTCCTCCTTGACCTTTCCTCAGAATCTGATAGATTCTGTCCATGAAACCCCCTCTCTGATACCAGTTCCACCTGCCTGCCTCCCCGGCGCGTTCTTCCCCCTTACTCTGGGTAGCCGCTGGCTTCTCTCCGCAGCCTCCTCCCCTCCGCTCAGTACTTCTCCTTGGTTGGTTGTCTTAACTGTTCCTGTGGCTTCGCTCCCCACCTCCGTCTGTCTTTAGCTTCAGTCCTGCCTTTTCCCACAAGTCCCAGACCTGTGTCTTCAGTTGGAGGACATCGTGTTTATCCTGAAGCAAAGCCGTTACTGTCTCCTCTTGCCTGCCTCTTGCCCCTCAGCTTGTGTAGGTTACAGTGGGGCCTTTGTCTCCACCTGCCTCTGGGAGCCATCAGTAACTCCTCGCCCGCCTGTACCAGCTGGCCAGCCGGAGCATCCTCACCTCAGGGTCTTCAGACCCACTCCCTCCTCCCGGCTCTCCTCTCCGCCCCGCCCCCGCCCCCGGCCCGCTTCATCAGTCAGTCTTACCAAACATGTCGAAGTGGGAGAGTAACTCCCTCGCTCAAGACAACTTTCAGTGGTTTCCTGGCACCCCCGGTGTTAGTTTGAGGCTTCCAGAGTAGCACTTAAGGCTCCCTGAGTTACGGCCAGTGTCTTTCCATCCCTTTCTCACACTGTGGCCAAACTGACCACACGCCTCCGCCAGGAAGGCCTCCTCTGCACCTGCTGAAATCAGCCCTACTGTCTTCCTCAGCCTCTTTCCCTGCTCTGCCCGTGGGCTGTCCAGAACTCTTGCTTCTTCTGGCCGTGCCCGCCCTGTGGGCCGCAGATGGCCGCATCCCGGTCCAGTCAGCTCCACAAACACTGAGCACCACGTAGCTGGGCCTGGTGCTGGTCACTGGGCAAGAGAACCCAACACTTTTCCTGCCCTCGAGGAGCTCACAGTCTAGTACGTCTCATCCCCTACTAGACTGAAGCTCCTTGAGGACAGGGATCGTCATACTCACCTCGGTGTTGCCCACACCCCCAGGCCAGGAGCTGGACCCAGTGAGGACCAGACAGCTGCTGAGTTCGTGCTTAGCTCTCACAAAACTCACGCTGACACTGGCCGGAGGACTGTTGCATTAAGGTGGAGCAGCTCCAAAAACTGTCCCAGGTGAAGGCTTAGAACTAAATATAATTATTTTATACACACACACGTATAAAAACATCATGTACCTATTTATAGATGCTTTCTTGTGAACAATTAGTACAGATTATTGACCAGTAGTTTGTTCTGTCTGTTTTGTATTAGTCAGAAATGGAGTTTAACTTTGTATTTGGAACATGTAGAACATGGCTACCAAATAAGCCAAATAAAACGTAACTTTATAATATACTAGCTGCTTGGACACCTATATGTAACAGTGTATCACAAGTAATCAAACACGTTCTTTATTGAGTTTTTTAAAATGGTTATTATATCCGAGATTCTAACAAAGTAATAAATTTTGGATAGCCCTTACCCCAGGGCCCCTAAAAATGTTTCCAAATCCCATTCTCCATGTCTGTCTAAAGAGAAAATGCTGCAGATAGACTCAGTTTATTGTGGGCTCCACTCATCTTTGGCTGGACCACGTCTTGTTTCTACTGTATCGTAAGTTAAGAAAAGTGGCTCTCGGTGACTCTTGTTAGGCAGAGGGTTGTACTGGGATGGGTCGGTCTCTGTGACCACAGGGCCTGTCCTCCTGCCATCCTGTGTCCTTATTCATAGATGTGCCTCATTGAGGAGAATGAGATTAACCTCTGGCCACCTAGTAGCAAGTGTGAGAAATTCCTCAATAGGAAATTTCTCATAACATGAGCTCTAGCATTTCATACTGTGTGACTGACAGTTTATAAGAGTGCACTAAATATTTTTTGAATGAAAAGTCATTTAATCCCTAGCTAGTCAGTTAATTCATTGGTAGATACTGTGGCGAGGAGACCGCAGTAAAACCTCTTGAGTATTTGCCCCTTTGGAGTTTATGTTCAAAGATAGCGTTTCCCAGCAAGTGCTCTGTGTCATTAAGGTGTTTGTGCCATTATAGGAAAAGATTGTCAGTTTTATCTCAGGGAAACATTTTAAGTTAACGTGTGGCTTATTAAATCCCTTTTAGACAAATGAGGGTAATAAAATTATTGATTTAAATTTTGTACCCTAATTTTTGTATTTTTCTAACTTTTTATTGACATGCAAAGATGTGAACATATAGACATGCCAAGAAGCTGCCAAACAGCTCACTGAGTTTTCACAAATTGGGCCCATTCCTGTAACCAGCATCTAGAACAAGAAAACAGCACTGCCTTCACCCCAGAGACCCACGAGAGGCCCCTTTTCCAATTACGTTCCCCCTCCAGGGATAACCACTCACCATAGACTGGTTCTGCCTGGTTTTGAACTTTATGTAAACGCTATAATGCAGTGTGTACTTTTTTGTTTATGGTTTATTTTGCTCAACGTTTAGTTTGAGATCACCCATGTTACTCAGGTAGTTGGACTTCACTCTCGTTGCTGTATGTGTCCCATTTGTGAATATACCATAGTTTATCCCTTCTACTATTGGTGGAAATTCAGATACTTTTCATCTTGGGGCTCTCAAGACTGCTGCTGTAGGGACATAACAGAAGTGTCATTGGGTGAGCACGTGTACAAGAATGTCTGGTGGATGCGTATTCAGGCGTCTGCAGGTGGGCGCGGCTTTAGCTTTATGTACTGATAGCGCCTGTTTTCCAAAGTGGATGCACCAATGCGGTGTCTCCAGCAGTGACAAAAGCTCCTGTTGCTCCAACCGTAGTTTTTTTTAAACCTTTGGAAATCGATCCTTGTTTCTAAGCATGCCATTTTCACATATGAAGGGTAGGTTAGAGAAAGAAAACATAACGTAAGTGGTATGTAAACAATTTACCTGAGGTTTTCTATTCTAAAGATCACTGACTTAGTAAGTGTCTGCCTGGAAGGCCCTCTGACCCTGAGCGCTTTAGGAGGCCCTTTGGACCAAAAGCATGCTCACTAGGAGCCAGTCTCCATCCTCTGCCGTCAACCTTAGAAATTACGGCATTGAAAACCAGCACTGACTGAGTGCTTTCTGCTGCCACACCTGTGCCGTGAACTGTCACACATTATTTCATCTGAATCCTCACGGTCCTGGGAGATGTAGGTAATATCGTCATCATCAGTTTACAAATGGGGAAACGGAAACTGAGGTTAGGCAGTTGAGTGCTGGGGTCACAGAGCTGGGATCCAAGGCAAGCTCACCTGAGTCCAGGACACAGGCTGTCAACTGTCACGCCCTACGCTTTGTTTGAGCCATGGCTAGACGTTAGTAAGTGCTCTGATTACGATTTTGACTAGTGGGCAAGTTGTTAATATTGTTCAGTTAAAAAGGAAAAAGAAGAAAGAAAAGGGAAAAAAAACATACTGTTAACAAGGAATTCCTACAGCTGGTTCTCTTACATTTGCTTGAGTGTCAACCAGAGAAAGTCCCCCAGCAGAATGGCAGCGTCTCTGGCTTCGGCACAGAGGCCCCCACCC